ACGGGAAATGGGAATGTAATGCGATTCCCCAGACAAGACAGAATTCATGCAAGTTGATCATCAAATCTGTGCCACCGACCTTGGGACCGGATTCGCTGAGCAAACCTGCGCTATTGACAAAGATATCTTTTGAAACAGTCAGTCCATCTTGATGCTCAGGTTGATTTGAGGGCATACCAATATGCTCAACTTTGCCCTTCAAGTTGTTGTACAAGTTGTCGACACTTTCGGGGGAACCAATGTCCACCGCCAAAGGAATAAAAGTCGTTTCCGGATAGTTCTTTTCGAACGAGTTCTTGGAAGCATGAAGGTTGGACTCGGTACGACCGGTTATAACAATCGTTTTAGCCTGCGCTTTGGCAAATGCCTCTACGATAGCAACACCGATACCGCGGCCTCCACCGGTAACGAGAACAACTTTTCCTTTCGTATTGAACTCGGGTTTCGTGGGATCCTACACACGAGTACTTGTTAGAGTGTTTTACAAGTCAGGGAACGGAGCTTACGATGAAGGGATAAACATCGTGACGAACGGTGTCCGTGAACAAGGCGCGAGAAGAGCCAGTTTGATTGGAAGACATAGTCTTGGATGTTGAGTTTAAAGCGTTGGATTCGAGTTTGGAACTTGAGATTGGGTGATTGCGATGGAGGGCAGCATGTCTCCTGACATTTGCTTTTATAGAGCCAGTGCTCCCCTTTCCCTTCTATTTCGTCATCTTGTTCTTCAAATCCTTCTTATGCACGAGCATTTTATCAATAATCTCGAGTATAGCGAGAAAGCAAGAGTCGACAAGGCTGAGTGATCGAGAACCAACTCGAGCACTAAGACAGATTAGCTAGTGTGTTATAGTGCAAATTGTCGAATGCTTACCAAGGTTGTCTAATCTTTCCCATGGGCACCCGAATGAATTGGACGCCTTCCCTTTCTGGCATAATTGTAGATGCTGACTAACCTTGACCAACTAGGGATTACCACGCGCCAACGCCCGCTTTCACATGCAAGCACACTAATTTGCTCATTGAAGCTACTAACATCGATCAGAATGATCTTAGATCTTAGCAAGACGACGAAATATGCGGAGAAAGCCATATTATAGTGTACAGATACATCAATAGATTACAGCGACGAATCCAAAGAAATCCCTCAGGTAGCACGTTCACCGCGTAAGCGACGAGCTAGTTGAAGATCCTTGGGTTGAATGGTAACACGCTTAGCATGGATGGCAGCCAAGTTGGTGTCTTCGAAGAGCGAGACGAGGTAGGCCTCAGCAGCCTCTTGGAGGGCCATGACAGCAGACGATTGGAAGCGGAGATCGGTCTTGTAGTCTAAGGATAACGATAGGTAAAATGTTTGAATGGTAAAGGGAAAGTAACGAACCCTGAGCGATTTCACGGACTAGACGTTGGAAAGGCAACTTGCGGATAAGCAATTCGGTAGACTTTTGGTACCTCCTGATTTCACGGAGAGCAACAGTTCCGGGCCTGAAGCGGTGAGGCTTCTTAACACCAGCAGTCACCGTGGCGGTCTTGCGAGCTTGCTTGGTAGCGAGCTGTTTGCGGGGGGCCTTGCCACTATTTTAGACGCGTCAGAAACATGCTCGACTTCCGGTAAAATTCAAGACTAACCCAGTGGATTTACGAGCGGTTTGCTTGGTACGAGCCATTTTTAGTTAGAAGTGGTTTGTTGTGAGCCGATTTAGACTTTTTAAAATGGGGGAGCGATGGACAGCCAACCGACGTTTTCGACCGGGCTTGATAAATGGTCGAACAGCGCGACTTCAAACTCCGCCCGTAAACCTTATCGCAGTCACGTGATGCACCTCACGGCCGTGCCAAAAAATATCGAATTAATGCTTTGCTCTGCTATTGAATTATTTATTTATTTCTCATTTCGCTCGACGACGAAACAGGCAAGCGCAGTGCCTTTCAAACAATCAAGAATGCGAGGTGTTCAAGTCTACTCCTTCCCTCGACTGGCCCATCATTCACTTTTTCTCTATCTAAATGAATCTACTTT